ATTGCAATTAAGAGCTTTTAACTATAAACAGATTTGTTTTGATCTTCATGAATATCATATTATCATTAGATTCATTATTACTCTTTGATTGTATCTTACCAAACTTATATAATTAATTGTACTTTATTTAAATGTACTTTTTTTAGCTAAATATTGTTATATTCAAATGTACTTTATTTTTTTAGTTAAATATTGTGGCTTACTGAATTTGTATTCATTAGATTATGATATGTAGCAAAGTAAATTGAATTTGATATATAAAGCTTAAAAGTTAAACTATTGATTTTTGCTTCTTTTTTTTTCCGGGAAAAAACATAATGTTGCTGAGCTAATGTGGCATTTGATTCAGTGTTTTAGTTCTCATTGTTTTGTCTTTTTACAGTTTGTGTTTCTGAGGCTTATGTTGCTGGTTTTTTGTGATCTGCAGTAGGCTGTTTGATTCCGTGACGATTTTTGTGATTCTTTAGAAAGTTTGAGCAAAAGAGTGTAGAAATGGCAGATGATGATGTATCGAGCTTTTGAGGTCCTGTGAGTTCTACGCTTCTACTATAGAATGTTGTGAGAAGAACTATGCTTACTCGTTGTACATTGCAGAGTTTTCTTTCAAAGTCCATTTGTTGGAAGCATTTGTTGGTGACTGAGTAGAATTAGTACTGTATAATAGTTATTACATTGCTCAGTTAAAATCAAGTGAAGCTTTTTATCTTCTTCATTTGTTGTCTTTGTACTTGATCCTCTTGGTCTGATTATACTAAAGAATGGGTTATGGCTAAAACAACAAAAAACAACCCATCATTTGCTACTAATGTCATTCGTTCAACGAACCAAATTGGTCCAGTTTAAACATTCTGAAATCAAGACACGAGAAAAGATTCTTATTTTTTACTGACTCGCATGAGAGAGATCATGAACAAAGGATGGATCATTTTTCCCTCAAAACGACAAAGTTTTGAGGGCCTGCATTCTTCTGTATCTTTGAGATCTTCCTCAAAATATCGGCAAAGGCGTTCTTGTCCTGTAAAGGATACAACTAAATGATTAAAACACAACCACATATGGTTTCTTCAAGAAAGGAATTCGATCTAAGAGTCCTAATAAAGAAGACAAAATATTACCTCTTTGGTTTTAAGTCTTGCCTTAAACCTGGAAACAAGGTCCTGTGTAGTGACTTGCTTCTTTTCCATAAGTACAGCGCGGATTTCGTCTTCAGTCACAGGCCCAGTCGCGGCTGAGGCTGAAGCTGCAGGAGCCGAAGTTGATTCAGTTTTCACTGATTTTGCCGGTGTGTTGGATTTGGACACCGAGGTTGTTTTCTCTTCCTTCACTGAAGATTTTGAATCCTGCTTACAAAAGAAACCTGTTTGTTAGAGAGTAAATGACAAGACAAGTGATAACCTCTTTTTCCCCAACAAAGGTGTAAATCATGATCCGATAATCCTCCTTCCCTACATTCAGCATTTTTAAACATATCATAAACACAAGCGAATGTCTTACATTTTCAGTCTTCACTTTCTTTTGAGTAGAGCTGCTAGACTTTTTGGCATCGCCTTCATTTAGTTTTCTCTTTCCCTTAGAAGGTTTAGCAGAAGGTGTTCCACGAGAAGATACAGATGGTGTAGGTTTTGGAGGAGAACTATCAACAGGTTCTTCTTTGGTCGCATCCTTCTGTTTTGAATTCGGAACTGGATTGAAGTTTGTGTCCTCTTCCTATGAAATGACATTCAGGATTATTTTCTTGTATAACAACCAGATTATAGTCGCAACTCGCAAGGATATAACAAAATGAGTGTGCTTGGGAATTGAACAATTTGATTTAGAAACCACAAAAAAAAAAACAAGAGAAGCAAAATATGTCGAGAATTGAAGAGGGCTTACATCATCTGAATCATCGTCGTCGTCTTCATCAGATTCATCCAAGCCATTAGACTTATCGAGCAATTTCTCCATCTCTTTACCAGATTTGCTCAATTTCAATTTTCCC